CTGCTAAAGAAGACAGCGCGACAAACTATGCCTCGTCTTCTGCTTCGCTTTAATTGAATATTGGCCTAATTTCTGAATCTTATAACGCACTTTCTAGACAGCGAAACTTTCTAAAAAAACTGAAATGAAAAAATTTTCGACTAGAAAAAGTTTTCGAGAAAATCATCGCTTAATTCAACGCAACCAGCCAGGCATCGACTCACACCGACGGTGAAAACATTAATCGCGCCAAACTATGCATTATGACACTCTTTCGTTCATGAAATAAAGAATTTTGCTTCAATTTGACCATATTGAAACGCGTTTTCTAGGCAAAAACATTTTCTGAAAAAGTTGGCGTTTAAAAATTTGCAATTAGGAACATTTTAGAGGAAAATTAACGTTTAATCCTGCTAGTGCGTCCAGCGATGTACTGTATGTCATAGACAATATATTTTTTTAAATTCTGCTCGAAAAAATTGGCTGTTTAAACTGCACAGGCTTTTGCCCTAATTTCTGAATTTTAAAACGCACCATCAAAATTATAAAATTCTCTAAAAAAACTGGTAAATTAGCGATTACAAACGGGTTCCGAGAAAATTAACGCTTAATACTTCTAGTGCGGCCAACCACGCAACTACCCACTCTTTTGTTGATAACACACAGACTTTCAGGAGTTTAGACTTTAAATAAACATTTTGAATCCATCTAAATTATCTAAAAACCCTGCTTTTTAAGAAACTCAAAAAATCAACTGTTAAAACATTAAGCAATCCAAACTGTGCATTTTTTTGCAACGGCTGATTTTTTTCTTTTTTAATTGATAGAATGTTTACCTAATTTCAGGACCGCAAAACTCACTTTCTCGGCAATTAAATTCTCTAAAAAATCCGCGATTAGGAAAGGCTTTTGAGGGACGGGGGGCTTAATCCTCGTACTGCATCCAACCATGCATTGCCCACATCCTTTGCTAATAGATCTTTGACTTTTTTGAGATTTACGAATTTTAGTCAACCTTTTTCTTTAAACGAAATTCTCTAAAAAATATGGCTTTCCTAAAAATTGAGTCATGGCATCTTTTCGAGAAAATCGATTGTTGAAACATTAATCGCGCCCAAGTTTGTATGTGTGTAAAATTAACAGACTTGCTGAGATTTAAAAATGTGTGATTAACAACATTTTTGGATCGAATAAACGCTTAATAGTTCTAGGGGGCCAAATTATACAACGACTCACTCGTTTGTTCATAAACAAGTTCACAACTGTGTTTTGTTCATTGTTTATCACCGATATTTGCCGCAATTTTAGAATTTGGGTAAACTTATGAACCGCAAAATCCTCAACAAGCCAGCATTTTGAAAATGTACTGCTAAGAGATCAAGCGCGCCCAACCATGCAACAACTCTTTTTTCCCCTTTTCGTTCTCGGAAAACTCGAGAAATGAGTGTAAAAAAACAATAAATTGGCGGGTAATTCAATTTTGTTTTAAATTATATGAAAAATATATTAAAGCTGCTGAATCTAGTGGTGCGGTTATTTTTTCTGTTTATGTAGCGATCAAGAAACTTTAAAAATTTGTGAAAAATGCAGATAAAATTATCTGCTTGCAACCTTGAAAGTCAATTAAAAAATCGGATTTTTTTTCTCATTTCCATATTGTTTTATGTACATATTTTGAACTCCTGAATCGAATGGTGCCAACAGGTTAAAGAAACTTACAAGTCACATGGTCATTCCATACGCTGAAGCTCGTTGTTTGGCTGCAAAAAATTGCCAACAAAGATGAAAAATAGAGCAGAAAAACTTTGGAAACCGTTTAAGATGACAAGAAAGAAAAATTTGCTTTGAGTTTGCAAGTTCTATAAAAATTGTTAAACACACCAGCTAATATCGACGAAGCTTTTCGGGACTGAAAATAACGCCAATGATCCAAAAATGTTCAAACCATTCGTAAAAAACCCTTACAAAAACCGTAAAGCAAGCGTACATAACACACGATTACGATAATAAAACTTTCTAAAAACTGCTGCGGTTCCAACACGAAATCGAAGAAGATTCAACAAAATCGAACGACAAATATTCCTGATTATCAACGTTTGTGCTTAGAATAGAAACAGTAAATGACAAAAGTGCGCAGTGATCTAATCTTTATGTTAAAATTATTAATTATAAAAAAATTGAACAAAAGAAAGACCAACAAAAATAAAAGTCGAGTGAGGAAGGAACCAATGAATGAATAATTTTGGAAAAGTCCTGGACGATGTAAAGAAATGTCGTCTAATGGAAAAAATGCAGTTGAATTTGAAAAAACATGCAAAATGTTTCCATAAAAAAAATTATAAATACGAAGACAGAAAATAAGCGCTCGACTGGATTCAGCAGCTCGAAACACATGAAAAATAAATAATTTAAAACAAAGCTTATCGTCGTCGGTCGTTACAGGTCATTTTATTGAAACTTTTTTCCTCATTTTTCGAGTTTCCCTATTTTTGGTCGATACGTAGAAAGAAACTGATGGTAGCATTCGATTCAGTACCTCAAAATACGTCCGAAAAAACAGCGGTTTTAGGACCGATAAACAAATTAACACGTTTTTTGTACATATCATAATTGAATAGAGATGGCACCGCCTAAGTGAGCCCACCCCACTGTTACCTCTGGGAAAATGTTCTTTTTCAACAGACCCTTTTTGAATATTCCATCCAAAATCGCAGCCAAATGCAGCACCTACTACAAATCCTTACAATCCAATCCTACTTACAAATCCACCGAATATAAAATGTAAATTTCCCGGCTTTAAAGCCGCCACCTTCTGACCTCAATCAGCATAATCAAGTGCGATTCCAGTGCTGACAGTGCAGTTCAAACAGAAAAAAGCAAAAATGACTGTGAAAACCCAAACCGCTCATGTCATCGAATGGCTGAAGAAGTTTCTGCTAGTTTATCCAGTGACGTGCTTCAGGCTGATGTTCTTGGTGTTCTGGAAATCGCCCTCCCTCCACTTGAACAACATGAAGAGCTGGTCAATGGAAATGCCGCAAATGGAACGGAAACTCGGCAGAACCGTGAGATTAACCAGAAGAGGACTGGAAAGGGTACCGCATAGAACATAACACGTGCTAGTTAAAAACTTGTTTTGTTTGTTTATGGGTAAAAAAATAGCCCAAAGTGAATTAAAATTATCATTTTCGATTAACAGAATTAATGATTGCTCAATACGAAAACACCACGACTATCCACGGGCGAACAGTAAACGAGCGCCCAAATTCGCCCGACGGTTATGGATGACGCAATTCCAGTTCTTCAACATTCAAAGGCAACTTTGTAAAACACTTTCTTTCAACGACTCGCAACAGACTTGGTAAATATCCAACTAAATGCTAAAATTTGGCTGCTAAAATCATTGATCTAAATCCACGGGCTCGTCCAACGGGTTTTCTTCGGGCAACTTGTTGAAACGCTCCTGCGTCTTCATCCAAATCTGATGCTTCGGATTCTTTGGCACGACCAGAGGCACTTCCACTGCAGCCCCCATTCCTGCTGTACCGGCATTTGATACCACCTTAACCTGAGCAAAAACGACAGGATTATTCAGAGACTTTTACCTAAAATCGAGTCTTACTGGTTCAATGCGGCCAGTTCCATCTTTTCCCAGGGATTCTCCCTCTTTCCACCCCATCTTGGAAAGCAGTTTAAAGCCTTTGTTCTCGGAGGTGATTGATCTGCAATTAACAAACAGTGTTGAAATCTACATTTTTTCTGGAAAACCTTGTCATGACGCGAATATTTTAAATGTCCAGGGGGGTTTTAGAAAGTTAGAGGTTTCCGAAATCGGGGACAAAGTTCCTACTTTTGTTGACGAGTAAATCGATGTCTGGTTGAGCGCAATTTTCCCTTAATGCAAAATGCACAAATTCTCGAATACTCATTAGATTAGAGAATTTATTTGTCTACAGAACGCTTTTTGAAGTTCGAAAATCGCAGCCCAATTCAATGAGTTGGGATGAAGGCACGGAGTCGATGAATGTTCGGTGCAGTTGAAACTTTAAGTTTCCTGGAAAAGCGGCAAAAAATACGGCAGAGAATTACGAAAAACTGATTTTCTTAGAGGATTGCTTTGTCCACAAATCAGTTTTAAAATTTTTAAAATCGCAAGCAAAGTCAGTGTTACAAAAAAAGAGTGAGTCGACGTATGGTTGGGCGCAGCCTAAACTTCAACCATAGATTTTCTCGAATAATTTTCCAGAACACAAAATGTACAATAAACAGCTTTAATTAGGGAATTAAATTGTCTTCAAAATGCTTTTTAAAGTTCCAAAACCGCAGCAAAATTCAATGAGTTCGGATAAAAACACGGAGTCGATGAATGTTCAGTGCAGTTGAAACTTTAAGTTTTCTAGACAAGTGAGAAAAAATACGGACGGCAGAGAATTACAAAAAACTGGTTTCCTTAGGGGATTGATTTGTCCATAAAATAGTTTTAAATTTTTTTAAATCGCAGCCAAAGTCAGCGAGTTACGAAAGAAAGAGTGAGTCGCTGTATAGTTCGGCGCAGTCTAAACTTCAACCGTAGATTTTCTCGAATTCTTTTCCTGAACACAAAATGTACAAAGAACAGTTTTAATTAGGGAATTGAATTGTTTTCAAAACGCTTTTGAAAGTGCCCAAATCTCAGCCAAATTCAATGAGTTGGGATGAAAACATAGAGTCAATGAATGTTCGGTGCAGTTGAAACTTTAAGTTTTTCTGTTCCTGGAAAAACGGCAAAATACGGCATAGAATTACGGAAAACTGGTTTTCTTAGGTGATTGATTTGTCTATAAAATAGTTTTCAAATTTTTTAAATGCAACCAAAGTCAGTGAGTTACGAAAGAAAGAGTGAGTCGATGTATGGTTCGGCGCAGTCTAAACTTCAACCGTAGATTTTCTCGAATAATTTTCCAGAACTCAAAATGTACAAAGAACAGCTTTAATTAGGGAATTGAATTGTCTTCAAAACGATTTTGGAAGTTCCAAAACCGCAGCAAAATTTAATGAGTTCGGATGAAAACACGGAGTCTATGAATGTTCGGTGCAGCTGGAACTTCAAGTTTACTAAAACTTTAAGTTTATATATCTTCAAAACCGTTTTTAAATTTGTGAAATCGCAGTAAAGTAGTCGGTGTAAAATGAAAGAAAAAGTGTATCGATGCCTGGTGGCACACGGTGTTGAAACATTGATAGGCGGTTTTCTAAAAAAAAATTGCGAATTTTATGAGCAAGCAACTGCTTTCATTCGGGAATTTAACTTCCTACAAAATCTTTCTCGAGTTTCAAAAATCACCAAAAAACTCAGTGAACTTTGGCAGTCGATTACTGGAAAAACATTTAAAAGCTCGAAATTTTCTACGAACAGGTTTCTTTGGGGAATTTAGCTGTCTACAAAGGGTTTCCTGAGTTTACAATTTTGTGGCCAAAATCAGGGAGTTATGAAGGGAACAGTTAACCCACGCATGGAGAGGCGCAGATGAAGCTTTAACTGGATTATCAGACTATGAAGGCTTTCACGGCCGGTCAAATCACATATAGAAATGTTTTTCGGGCTTTGTAGCCATGTAAGCCCGAAAAACATTTCTAGATGTGATTTAACTATGTTTTCTCAAAAAATTTCCGATGACACACACATCATTCAAAAAGCGGTTTTTTAGGAACATTCAGTTGACTGGAGACATGATTTTGAATTTCTAAAATCGGAGCAAAAGTTGGAAGTTTATGTACAAAACTGCAACTCGGAAAATTGATAATTGGGCCCCGACGACGCCTTGAACCTTTTTAAATTGCCTAAATCGATGAAGATTTTGTTGCATTCCGGGGATTTTTTTTAAGAGAATTAACTTGTCTTCAAAGGGTATCTTTAGTTTCGAAAATCGCAGCCAAAGTCAATGAGCCATGAAGAAAAGAGTGAGTAAATACGCAACAGAAACGACCATAAAATCGCAACTCAGTTGCTTCGTTGAGTGACTGAAGAACTCCCGAAATATTTAACAGTTCCTGGATAACTTTACTCACTCATCTAAGGAGGCGGCTTTGGTCTTTTCATAGGGATTCTGACTGCCCACTTCGTTGCGCCGCCTCTCCGCCCGATCCGTGTACCCTTCCCGCAACCTAGAAGGGTCTTCATTGGACCCCAAGAATCCGTGCTGCTTCCTCAGTCTCCTTAACTCGCTCTTGAACTGCTGGCTGATGCTCTTCTTACTGCCGCTTATCGGCACTGGCGGATCTAAGCCAAGTGAAAAGACGTATGTTGAGGAATGGAAAACCAACCGCAACTGCATGGTACCTTTGGGTTCCTCGATTAACAGCCCCGGCTCGCAGTGCCCGCAAGTCTGACTTCCTTCATGCACATGGCAAAGCAAAGTGGTGGAACCCAGCTGCAGTTTGCTGCCATGTGGCACCTCCGCTGGGTCGCTTTCCTGCTTCGAACTGGCCAATCGCTTGCCGTTCAACAGGGTGCCGTTTCTCGAACCCAGATCCACAATGGAATAGGTGGAAGTGTCCTCATTGTAGAATAGCTTCAGGTGATGCTTGCTGACGTTGATGTCGGGCAGCAGAACCGAGTGGTTCCCTTCGCGCCCAATCGTGCCTCCATCGCAAGTGACGATGAAAAGCGACCCGACTTTTATCTTGGGGATTTCTGTTGATTCCACTATCATGCGCATGCAGGGTGGATACTGCTTGGACACATCTGAAACAAATGGTTACACAATGAAAATTTTCGACAGGAACACGTCTACGGATGGAAGACGGTCACCAAGCGAAGGCCTGGTTGGTAAACCTTTGCCGGTAAAATGCCTCAATTTTTTGCAATTGCCTCAAATACGCAGATATTTTATTTGCCAAGTCCAGATCGGACGAATAAAATCTTTTGAATCGCGTGCCGACTCTTCATGAGGTATCAGATCCGTTCCTTAATGGAGCGAAACTCTTTTCAGATAGATTTAGATTGACTCCAAACCTCCCAATGGCCTTTTCGCATTCAAAACTGCGGAATTATGAAGAATAATTGTCGCTTGAAACACCAGATAATTTATCTGTATTAAACATTTATCGAAAAACTACGCAAAAATTGCGCTCCTAAACCACCAGTTAACAGCCTTTATTCGCCGCTAAATCTTCAGAAGTAGAACATTCCCAAGAATCAATGATACATTTTCCGTTTTTCTACGTAAAAAAGATCAGAAAAGCTGCGACGCTCGCTCAGAAACGCTCCTTCAAAATTGCAGCAGTTCAGACAACGCAATTTGTTCCTAAAAACCAGTTCAGGCTGAAATTCTTTGCGTAACGCTCAAGGCTCTTAATCGTGYAGAAAACAGCTCAGAAATYWAATTRWAAAAAAATTAAACCAACACAGATTTTCTTGATTGGTTCAATTGACGCTTCAGAAGCTTATTTTTGGGTTTAAACTACACAAGTAACGCCATTAACAAAARCATTAGAACAACCGCACTTAGAAAAGTGTTGCCAAAACTGCAAAGGTGCAAATAACGCGACTTGTTCCATAAAGCTCAATCAGGCTTAAATATGAATTATCACAGATATTTGGTAAATTAGTGGCTTCAATGCCCAAGAAGCTAGAAAAACGTTCAAGRGAGACTCAGAAGAMTTTTCAGTGTTGCTGGCACGACGCTGAGAGAGCGGCTCAACTTWAGAGGATTAAATGGACTTMATTTCAAACTRCAGTGAAACGCGCAAAAATTGTGCGGGTGAACAGTGGAAATATTTCCTGTTTTTCCAGTTAAATTGCTAAACAAATATGTTTTTGTCGAAWCGACTTGAGTGGCGGTTRAACTATCACGAGTGTCGACCACTAGCTAAACATTTCATTTTTCAATTGGGTTCATTAATGCTTGTTTTGAAAAACTCTGCCGAAATCGGTTTCGGATCAAAGGCATTCAACTAAACTGCTCAACAAAATGAACCGTTAAACACCCAAATCTGACCCAACTTTGGAACTGGATAAATTCTGATTGCTTCAAGCGATTCAGTTGATTTTTTAAAACCACCCTGTAAATAAACGAGATAAGCGAAAAATTAAAAAACGCTTTCCGGGATCTCAATGCTTATGGCCTTAGAGTTTCTGTCCAACTGAAAACACGCTGAACTTTCGCCAATTTTGCACTGTTTCTTTCGCCACCTTGCAGAAACTTTGTCTGAAGCAACAATTGTATGCAAAAGCACGCAAGAACCGAAAAATAATTGCACTAAATAACGCTTCAAGTGGAAATCAATTYGCTCTAAGCAGTCAGAATTGATCTAGTTCCGAAGTTAATCCGGAAAAAATAATAAGAAAGTGGACAATTTAGCTTTGAAATTTACTGCAAACGAACTCTTGTGTGTGCTAAAATGCAGACAATCTTGCCGGGGCAAAAGCAAGTAATTCAAGTTGAGTTCCATGACAAAAAAATAGATAAAACATATGTACCACTTGAGTCAGAAACGCATTCGTCGTCCTCAAAAGTGGCCGAACTGTCCGAACACTCGCCCTCTTCAAAATCGATCCCAAACTCGTCAAACCTCGGTCGCTTGGGCTCCTGCAAATGATATGAATTTTACTTGTCATACGTACCCAACGGGCGGCAGCGTAGATTAGATATGTTCATATTATTGAAAGAACTTGAAAGAGTCTCCATATGGTAGAAGCTGTTTACCTGCAAACACGAAAAACATAATTAAGTCTAAGAGTTTTTTAGGCAACAGTTGCTTCAGTACTTTTGCTTTCTTTTTATTTTTCGCTCGTCGCTTTTTTCTGCTTAGACATACAGAATCTTTAGCGGGTTCAGCGGGAGTGACTTGCGAATGATACTCATACGTCTTCGTCTCCTGGTTGTAGTTCAAATAAGTCCCTGATGAGGCATCGTAATACAGACCGTATTCCTGCCACAATGAGCGATTAGAACTGCGTACATCAAAGGGCAAATGGTTACTCACAGCGTTGTAGTAATAGCCGCTCGTGTAGTCGTAGTAGAGACCAGAGGTTTCTTCGTAAACAAACCCAGAGGACTGCACTGCTTGCTCCGCAGCTTCTTTTATATCTTCAGCCAGGCTTTTTGGCTCTTTCTGTCCATTGGTTGAGGTCGTTTCAGTCAGGCCGCTTGAGAAATGGGTTTGAGTGGAGGCATGACGGGTCTTTCTCTAAAAAACACAGAAAAAGATTAATGCATGAATGGTACACCAGAACGTGGAAACAGGCAATGAGGAGGCCGATTATGTTTAGGCTCTTGTGCATCATCGCATATTTGTGTCGAAATTATCGCAACCACCGGCAACCCGGGGGTGCGAAGCGGGTGCAACCAGAGACAAGTAATCATTGCTTAACTCTGTGTAACTCTTGTCTCTGGGTGCACCTCAGCGAAGAGACAACGGGAGGTGCTGGTTGCAAATGGTAAAATCGCGTTGGATAAAAAAGTGGGGTTTTTATATTTAAGTGTGTATAACCTTAGTATTCAACATTTATTGAGAGAGAAGTTGCCTGGGACATCACGAGTTTGCCTTACTCTGAATGTACCTAAACTTGCTCTAGTTCATAAGAGATTTGTCCAAACAAATAAAACATATACAACAATAACGCCCACCTCAAAAGAGAGCCCCAAATCCAATCTAAAGGGTGCTTTGCTTGATGCTTGATAGTCTTTTTTTGTCTGATTAAAGTGGTGAAATCAAAGAAGTCAACAAACCTACCTCGCTCATCTGCTTGTACTTCAACTTCCACTTGATGATTTTCTTCACTTGCTTCTGGATGATGCGCTGCATTTTCTGGACCAGTTCTAGCACCTCGGGAAACTCCTTGAGTTTCCCCATCAATTCCTCATCCAGTTTGTGGATTTCGCCGTAGTTAGATCCGCCATTAGCGGAGTTCTTCGCTTCCAGGGAACTGTGGCTTGATCTGGATGATATTTTTCCTACAGAGCCACTTCGGGACCGGGATGAAGTGGATGATTTCCTTCTGGAGTCCATGGTTTCAGAGAAAAGGCGCAATGTTTCTGGAAACCCAGCTGAAATAACTGTCAGCTGAGTGTCACTGCCGAAGTGGGGTTAGGGCTCCGAATGGTCGAATATTGTAGGTTAGGGGTTAGAAAAGTTTGTTGATATTTCAATTGTTGTCCATTTTTGACGGTTTTTGTTCATTATGTGCCTGCAGTGATAAATGTTGCGTAAAGTTTATAAGCCGTTTTGGCGATTTTATGCAATTTAACGGCTAAATCACGGGGACTTTTGGTAGTTCAGCGCCACAAAGGGTTGGTACTGGTTGTCAGTGGTTGCTGTCATCCGACGAGCCAGCCATTGAAAGAATGAAGTCCAAAACGTAAATAACTCATCATCAGTGATTTATTCCTTTATGTTTTATGTTAATTTGGTTGTTTTCCCCGAAAAGTGACTGTCTGAGGTGGTAGGTGCGTGCCATAGGAGCCCTAAATGCCCGAAAATGTCCAGGAACCGAATCGCAGCGAGAAATGTCGCAGACAATAAAATCGAAGTGAAAAGCAAGGTAACGCCTTTTTAAGACCGCTGGGGTATGGGGGCCCATTGGCGGGCGGCGCAAACGGCCCCATTTGCGGCAACTCGCCAATTTGGCTAGACGGCTGATGGATGTGGAAGTGAGCCAAAAAAGCATGCAGTTTAATTGCTGGTTCTGTTTCAGTTCGAAGCAGAGTTCCGGAGATTCTCCTTGGAGCGAACTGGCCAAGCCAAGTTCGAGGAGTTCAGTGCCTTGCTGGAAAAACTGCACAAGCTTAGGAACTTGGCGTTTTTAATCTCGTACATAGACCCAAGCGACCAGGATTTGCTGCCTATTAATAATGACGACAACCTCCGAAGAGCCCTAGTCAACGCCAAACCTCTACTCAGAGTCATCATACAGAGAAAAGGTGCTTTAACAGGTTTTTAAACCCATTTATCGGTTTGCAATCAAGTTCAAAATTATAAATAATATGTATCATACAACTACAATTACTACGAGAATCGGGGCGACAAAAGTAGAGCAATTACGAGGCGGAACTGAGCAATCAACTTTTGAATTACATTGTGTGGAAGATTGGTCCAAACATCACGAATTTTAGCTATCAAAGCTTGTTAATTTGCGTTCGAATGCGACGTCCCACTTCCTCCCAAATGTCAATAGGGTTTAGGTCTGGGGATTGTGCAGGACACTTATCAATTTTGACTCATCTCGCGATCTCTGACGAGGTGCTTCATGATGCTACAGAGGGAATAAAGATGAATGGAGAACTCATCAATAACATTAGATATGCGGACGACACTGCCATCATAGCTGACAGTCTTGAAGATATTCAGTCTATTACAGAAGGTGAACAATGTATCCGAGGAATTCGGACTAAATATATCAAAAACAACGTGGATGTGCATTAGTAAACAACGAATACCAATAGGAAGACTTACACTAAATCAAACACCCATACAACACGTTGAAAAATATACATATTTAGGGACAATTCTTCACAGTCAATGGGACATCCCCCTAGAAATTAAATCCAGGATTGAGAAGGCAAGAACAACTTTTGTTAGAATGAAAAACATTTAGCTGAAGAAACATCTCACTACTAAATTGCTACATATTCACAGTCTTGCTATACGGAGTAAAAGCATGGACCGTGTCAGAACAACTTATGAAAAAGATCTCGGCCTTTGAGACATGTGGGTATATCGGCGTGTTCTCCAAATATCCTGTAAGGTCACAAACGAAGAAATACTCAGAAGAATCGGCAAACAACAAGAAATCACATTCATGATAAAGAAAGTAAACTGGAATACTTTGGCCATCTGATGAGACACAACGAATATCGCCTTCAGCAACTTATCCTTCAGGGCAAGGTGGACGGTAGAAGAGGTCCAGGCAGAAGAAGAAACTCTTGGATGCATTAAATGCAAATTAGTCACAACAAGTAACAGACTTAAATTAAACAACTTTAGATTTCTATAGTAAATTTTTAATGTTAAAACCCTTTTGCTGAATGCACCAGACCTTCGTATTCCAACCCAGAAAAGAACATGAAATTTGATTTTTTTCTCTGATTCCAACTAAATGATAAACCCCAGTTCTTGATAGGATTTTTTTATCGGCAGCATGCATCCAACTTTAATGCGCGCAAACCTATCTTTGATAAAGCCCACATAAAAAATCTAAGAGCGTGAGATCGGATCAACGTGGAGGCCACACAACCACCACGTGCGGATCCATCTTCCTGGATAATTCGTGTTTCACATCATCGTGATCAATAAAATTCACAGCATTTACTCGATCTATTACTCTTCGATCTTTTTTACGTATTAATTTGCAATTAAAAAGTTGCTCAAAAAATTTCGAGAACTGGCTGTTAGCGACTTCGAACGAGAATACATTTCTTGCGTAAATATGAACGGAAAATAATTGTGTTTTAAAGCCAGGTTGATATGGGTAGGCAGAAAAAAGTTATTATTTATTAATTAAATATTTAAAAATTAATTTCACTCTGCATATTTCAAAACTTTGCTCTACTTTTGTCCGACAGTATGAGTCCGATCTCCACAAGTTTTCCTCCAAATCTCGTCCTTTTATCTCTTTTCTGTATTCTAGCTTTTCCTCCTCCTTAATTCCTTTTTTTCCTCCTCTATTCCAGGGCCTGTGGAAATTTTGTTTATTTCATTGACCAATTGCTCGCCTCTGTAAGCGTTCCTTTATTTAACTGCTTTGTCGAATGATCCGTCTAGCTGCCCATTTCCAATGCACATTTATTCTATTTTATCTTTCTGATTTTCAGTCCGTTTTCTGCAACTGTTCCAATTATTTTTCTACTTCGTTCTCTATTTTAGGCAGGTTGCCGGTTTATTCTGCACATTGCGGTTTTAGTTGATGATAAGATTGTCGCTCCATATTTTCCGTGGCGTTCCGGTACTTCTTGCCAGTGGTGATTTGTTCTCTGTTCTCCCTCTGTTCATTCTTCTCATGTGCTCATTTTGTTTGCGATTTCTGTTGAAAACCCGCCTCTTGATGTAACTTACTTACTGCGACTTGATTTCTACTTGAAGCGTCACTTAGTGCAATTCGTTTTCGGTTAGTGTGTGTTTTTGCAAACAATTATTGCTCCAGATAAAGTTTCTACAGGGTGGCGGATGAAACAATACAAAATTGGCCAAAGTTCAGCGTGTTGGCAGTTGAACAAAACACGATTTTTTGTATTTCAACACCACAAGCCTTAAAATATCGCAAAGCGTTATTGAATTTTTCGCTTATTTCGTCTGTTTACAGTGATCTTAAAAAATCAACTAAATCGCTTGAAGCAATGAGAATGTATTCAGTTCCAAAGTTGGGGCAGATTTTGGTGTTTAATCGTTCATTTTGTTGAGCAGTTTAGTTGAACGCTTTGGTCCGAAACCGATTTCGTCAAAGTTTTTCAAAACAATCACCAATTTTCCCAATAAAAATGTAATGTTTAGCTATTGGTCGACACTGGTGAAAGTTTAGCCGCCACTCAACTCTTTCAGCAAAAAACTATTTATTTACCAATTTAACCAGAAAAACATATTTCCACTGTTCATCCACACAATTCTTGCGCGTTTCACTGCAGTTGAAATGAAGTCTATTTAATCTTCTTAATTTGAGCCTCTCTTTGAGCGTCGTGCAAGCAACACTAAAAAGTCTTCTGAGTCTCCGTTGAACACTTTTCTAGATTCTTGAGCATCAAAGCCACTAATTTGCCATACATCTTCGATGATGCACATTTAACCTGATTGAGCTTGTAGGAACAAGTCGCGTTATTTGCGCCTTTGGAGTTTTGACACCAATTTTCTGAGAGCGGTTGTTCTAAAGCTTTTGTTAAGAGCGTTACTTGTGTAGTTTGAAGCCAAAATGAGCGCCTGAAGCGTCAACTGATCAAAAGTCTGCAGTAATCAAGAAAAGCTGTGTTGGTGCTATTAAAAAAGTTTTCTGCGCTTTTTTCTGCACGATTAAGGACCTTGAGCGTCACACAAAAAACTGGTTTTTAGGAACAAATTGCGTTGTCTGCTGCTGCAATTTGAAGGAACATTTCTGAGCAACCGCTTTTCTGATCTTTTTTATATAAGAAAACTGAAAATGTATCATTGATTGGTAGAAATGTTTTCAAATATACTACTTCTGAAGATTTAGTGGGGAATAAAGGCTGTTAATTGGTGTTTTCGAAGTGCAATTTTTGCGTAGTAAAAAACCTCGATCGCTCCAATTGTATTTGGCTTGAAAGTTACTTTTTTCGATAAATGTTCGAAGAAGAGAAATTTAATCTTGTGTTTAGTTACAAAACATATAAAATAAAAGAGCAAAATCCGAAAAAGTTTTGAGATATTTGGTTTATCTTTAAACTTATATGTTGAGATCCAAAAAAAAAACGCAACTTTCGAATTTGGCTGTGTAACGTTCATTTTCTTAATTTTTCATTAACTAATTCATTAATTGTCTTGCAGGTGACAGTTTAGAGGAGCTGAACGGCTACGGAACCATCAAGCCGCGCAACTTAATCTCGACAATCTTGGGGGGCACCCCAGCCCGAACCAAAATCCTCCCCATCTCAAATCCGCACGATTTCCGACAAGTGTCGGCCATCATCGATGTGGACATCGTGCCGGAGACGTGCCGAAGAGTTCGGCTGCTCAAGCATGGTTCCGACAAGCCGTTGGGGTTTTACATCAGGGATGGAACCAGTGTCAAGGTTACACAAAACGGTGCGGTTTGTTTTACGCCGTGCAAATCGACGCTAAGTCCACTTCTGTTGCAGGCTTAGAGAAAATACCAGGCGTGTTTATATCCAGGCTCGTGCCTGGCGGTCTGGCAGAGTCGACAGGCCTGCTAGCGGTCAACGATGAGGTGCTGGAAGTGAATGGAATCGAGGTGGCCGGGAAAACTCTGGATCAAGTACGTTGCCCAAACAAACAATTAAGCGGAAGTATTTTTTATTCGATTGGAAGCATCATAGGTTTGTTCTCATGGCAAGTTTACAACCGGTTCGTGACTGTTTCCAAACCAGTTTTAACGCGTAGATGCGTCACCAGGGTTCCGTTTTGGCTTGTTCTTGTTCATAGTTGATATTGGCGTAGAATACATATGGCCAATATTCAAAGCTTGCCACTTCTACGCTGTCTCTTGTGCTTAAATAGTCCATAAATTAAGTTTCATCGGCCTTGTCCGTTCTTCAATTAAACATTCTAAGTAGGTCTGTATAGGTAGCTGAATGACAAAATTCAGAAACTTCACGTTCTTCCGTCGATTCAAAATCACTCGTTCTGATTATTTATTTATTCATTTATTGACCACACGCCTTAAAATGGCATCCTTTTGCTTGAAGAAAATTTGTGTGAGAACAGTGGACCGTTACTTTGAAACCAATCAAATGTCTGTGCGAAAGCAATTTGCTTTATTGCGGACATTAGTTGTCAGGAATCGGTTTCTTGCGGCTGTGAGAACGAACCTCGTCAATTACTTTTACTTTTTCGCACGGACTATTCGCGAGTTCAACTACCGATGGTGGCGCTGCTAAACGTCAAATTACTAGTTGTCGAGTGTCAGTTGAGACTTGTTTATTTATTCGCGAGTTCAAAAGTCCAGGCGCCGCCTGGTGGCTAAAATTATAGCTACAAGTTAACTAGTAATTTGACACTTGTTTTGTTGGCATTGGTATCACATTGGTGTTTACATCTGATTGTGATTTGTTTTGTTCTATTCAACTTTTTGCAAGCTTTTAAAGAAATAGAAACCGGTCGAAAAGTGTGTAAGCATTGTTTTAAACATAAAACAATACACAATTTATAATAACAATAAATGGCATCAACTCCAATAAATAAACAAGTCTCAACTGTCACTAGACAACGAGTAATTTGACGTTTAGCAGCTCCACCATCGGTAGTTGAACTCGCGAACTAGAGTTGGTGACATTTATAACATAAAACAATACTTAAACACGTTTAGATCTGTTTCTATGTATTTCTTTAAAAGCTTGCAAAAAGTTGAATATATCAAAACAAATCACAATGAGATGTAAACGCCAAAGTGACACCAATGTCAACAGTACAAAGTGTCAAATTACTACATAACTTGTAGTTATAATTTTAGCCACCAGGAGGCGTCTGGACTTTTGAACTCGTGAATTAAGCCCACTGTGCGCAATAGTTAATGTGATAAATTGAACTTGCCACTCTCATTATATTTTTTCGTATTTTCATTAAAAAGGATCGACATTTTTAATTAATTACTTAGGTTTACCAACAACTGATCCAAATTTAAAGTTTACTTACAATTTGTAAATTGTGGCTTTGTTACCAATTCAGTCTGAAGTCTTTTTCTGCTTTCTCCAATGTTGCAACACACGCAAAACATCTTTTTAAATAGCGCAGATGTCATGCGAAACATGCAACTTATGCAATGAAAACAGCTGTTGGAAGGTTGGAAGTTGAAACCCACGCTTACGGCATCTTTACCTTCTGGTCGGGTTCAGCACATAGAATTTTCGACCCTCGTTGTTTCACTTCAATGTGCTTACAAAAACACGCTTTTGAAAAATTACAAACGTCAGAACGTGCCATTGACATCAAATTTAGAATATGAAATTTATGTCTTATTTTACGAACGTCTAATTACGGAAAAGGCTCCGTGCGCTGTTGCCGTGGTAGTGACAATATTTTACGTCATTTCTGTCAAGCATTTACCCATGTAGGGGAGCTGAACGGGTACGGAACCATCAAGCCGCGCAACTCAATCTCTTACCTTACCGTAAAAAACTCTTACTTCTATAGATGTGAATGAAAAATTATTATGTGATAAAGTTGTTTAATTTAATTTAAAATTGTTAAATCTAATTTTAAAATTAAAATATAAAACACACGGAAATGTTAAAATTTGACCGTCTTGATTTTTCATAATTTCCTCATTTCAAAAATATATATTTCGCCTATATTTGCATGAACCGTTTTTCCTATATTACGTTTTAAAAATTATAAATAGCGACAAATCAAAGTAGCATTGAAATTCAACAAGGCGCTTTCTCCACCCCATAACGTTCGCCCCGTAGCACTTTTTTTAAATAAAATTGTTGAAATTTTGATTGGACGAGCGTGTCCCTAAACAATGGCCTCCAAATAGCCCCGACCTAGTTAGACTCTAGTTAGACGCTTTCAAATAGTGGATGCAATTAACCATATTAATCAATACCATTATATTCAAAACGTTATGGATAAAATTGACGTAGATTAAAGAGTAACGGAGGTCAGACACAAAGTCAGTGATTTTCATTATTTTGTTTTTATTTATTTATTGGTTTTGACATTTATAGTAGCAATAAATTACGTAATGTGCTCTTTCTATAGTTTTTTGTTTCATTTGAGGCCAATTTGATTTGCTGTTAATTAAATTTTTTCAATTATAATACAGAAAAGATAACTAATACAAAGTTAGGCAATATATATGTATATTTCTGAAATCAGGAAATTCCAATCGACCTATCCAAAAATATATACGGTGTTTCATAAAAAAAGATTGTCATATTTTGACATTTCCGTGTTTAATATTTTAATTTTAAATTCATATTTAAAAATGTTTAGTAAAATTAAACAACTTATGAGGAAACACCCTGTACGGGTGTTTCCCCTATCTAAAAATATCTAAAATATTCCTCCTCCAAAACGGGAAATAAATTCGATAATGATCGGTTATTTTTCTTTGGAATCCCAAACATCAGCAAATAGCTTGACAGAAATGACGGAAAAAGAACAGAAAATTGACGTCAACTGTTACCACAACACGGCAAGAGCGCTCGGATCCCTTTCCGTAATTAGACGTTCGTTTTGATTTTTGGCCATGCGCGAGTTCCAGTCCAGCGCCCCCTGGCAGCTTAATTATAACTACACTTTAACTAGTCAAATTTGACACTGGAAACTTATTTTGATTAGATGTCATTGGGACTTGATTTCTTTAGTTCTACTCAGCTTCTGCAAGCCTTTAAATATATTGAAAAGTGTCTAAGTATTGGTAGTTGAACTCACGAGTTCTTATTACTCGTTTTGTCTTTCATCCGAATAAAAAATCTTGTTTGACACGACTTTAATGCACGATTTTCTTGACCAGGTGACTGATATGATGATAGCGAACAGCAGCAACTTGATTATAACAGTGAAACCGGCCAATCAGCGAACGGTGGGGCCGGTGCGCAGAGGCAGCTTCAGCAGGAACTCGCACATGTCGAGCGGGTCGCAGCAGTCGCAAACAACGGCGGGCTCCGATCCCGAGGACAAATTCGATCAGGACGAAATCGTCGACTTGACCGCCAACATCAACCTGGAGACGGCGAACAGCAACGGGGGTGGCACTGACGATGGCATTTTGCACTTGTAAACCGCCCCCAACCCTAAGGCAGCTCCTGCTTGGAGCAATGAAATTTTACAATCAAACTTTTGTGATCAAAATTTTAACCTTTCCCAGGTCAGTATCACTCTTTCTACTTACGTTTTTTTTTATTGCGCTACTGCCTAACTGAACTGAATCCGTGTACTTAAAGACTTGTTCTCTACATTCCATATTCTGTGTATTCCAGATTATTTTTCTTATATAGTGTGTAGTCGTGGGGCAGGATCGAGGAAACGGCTGCCCAGACGGGCAGTCGTTTCAATTATCGTAACTGCAATGCAAAGGATTTTCAAAGTGGTGACAGTTCGCGCAAAGAGAGTTAGTTAGAGAGCAAAGTAACAATTTTTTTCCTGATCCTGAGTTGAGTTTTTTGCACAACGTCACCAACTTATAAGCAATGAATTGCACAATTCATTTTTGCTTCTAAATTGTTCGCCGGCAGGAATTCAGCACTGCAAAATTTTGACCAGTCAGCTCACTGCATAAGGAGCTTTTTTGGTTTCTACTGATTTTTCTGGATGGTTTAAGAGTAAGTAAATAAAATAGTGCTTTGCCCGCTGTCAAGTCGCAGCTTTGAGAGGCGCGACAAGAGTACAATTTTTTTACTCAGAAGTCGTTAATTTTAGCAAAACACGCAAGGAACCAAACAGTTTCGCAACGAATTTGGCTTTCTACGGAACGCACAATAACCAACATTTAAGGAACGTTGAGTTACTTGTGAGGTTTTCAGACAAAGTTGCGAATCGCCATTCATTTTTGCTTCTTCAGAGTAGGCTTTCAATGGCTTTATAGGAATTATTGGAGGTTGTTGGTAAGGGTGCCAGAATATAGGGACAATAGTTTGCGTGCAACGATTTTTTTGGAGAAAATTAGCTGGGCTCCAGAACGTCGTAGAGCTTAACGTTTGCATAGAAATCGTAGCAATTGATGAGGAAATTTTAGCTGAAAATAATTTATTCTTTAACTTTTAACATAAAAAATTCCTGATTTTCAAACCAATGTTTAAACTCTTTGCGAGTAAAATAGACCCTTGGAGAACCCTGTCCGACGTCTCAAAAAAAGTTATAGCACGATTTTTTAGAAGCAAAACTAAATTATTCATAGTCTGATAAAACTAAATTAGTTTTAGAAAATTTAAAAAACGCTCAAATCGACAGATTTTTGTTTTTTTGGGTAAGCAAATGAACGGCATTTAATTTAATTGGTCTCATTTTGTGGGAATTGTAGGCAAAGTTATGCGCAAATAGCGGTTTTTGGCACTTTCTTAGATTATTTGAACAGTGAGCTACAGCCGGAAATCGCGCGGAAACTACTATCCTTATATTCTGACTTCTGTCCGAACAACTTCCAATCATATTTTACCGTCTCCCATTTAGGGCCAGGAAAAATCTAATCTGACTACAAATATGTCTTCAAGAGAGCTCGATTAACACAGACACTTTTTGGTTTCCATTTTTTGTTACAGCAAAAAACTAAAATAGTGACATTCAAAGCACTTTGAGACTTCCTTTGCATGCAACCCTGAAAGGCTGAAGCCCGTGAAACTTCCCTGTTTAAGTTGGGGCCTTGTAGAACCTCTTACAGCTCAAGCAAAGAGAGTTGAGGGCCGATTTCGGTTGGGGTTTTGTTGTGTTTTTACTCTTTCCATCCGAAATGGGCCTTCCATTCACCGATCAGCAGTGCAACCGGTCGGCACTCGGTCGCGTGGAACACGCAAATTTTAGCATGTTAAGCATATTGTTAAGTCTAAAGTGGCAGTGTTATCATATTTATTCTTGTGTTAATTACCATTTTAGTGTATTTTTATCGAATTTTACACAATTTTCGTGATATTTATCAATTTTATTTACGGTCTATCATGCACTTAAATCAGTACTTAATTAATCAATTCTACTCTAAGCAGTGTACATATTTTTGTAATTTTAGTTTTCAGTACCTTCCTACATGCATTCCCACAGTTCAAACCCGGTTTTCCCTTACATTATCACTGCTCGCTCCGTCCTAAAATTGGCCTTAAAAAATCCGAAGTATTAAATTGTTAAGAGGTACATGTCAAATGCAATCGTTTATATACATAGAGTTGCATCACATATAGAAATATATATATTTCAAGTTACTGTCTAAAACATTTCACTTTTTCTGGTCGTCGGCCGGCTGTTTCACAAAGTAGCCCCAAGGGGCGAACTGTTGGCCCCCGTCCTCCTCGGTCGGGCCCCTGAACACCTTAATCTGCACTCGACCTGCAACACCAACCGTTTTAATTTGAAGGAAACTGGGCAGAATGGTGCGTGCCTGGCCTGGCTGGTTCGTAGGCGTCTTGAGGCTGCGCCCATATCAAGGCGGCGCACATTAGCAGAATCTGAAACTCCCCCAAATTTTTTAAAATACAGGCTCGTTCAGACGGTGACATCGATGTCATGACACTAGGTGTTCACACTCGCCAACATATTTTGTCGCGACAGACTCTCGTGTCCTCCAAGTGAAAGAAAATATCGCGCTAAAGATTGACAGTCTTTAAGAAATGTCAAAATGTCACCGAGACATCGGCAGTGTCATGATGTCGCGAGTTCTACTACTGATGGTGGCGCTGCGAAACGTCAAAATACTCGTTGTCGAGTGACAGTTGAGAGTTGTCAGACTTGCTATTGATTGAGATTTATTGGAGTTGATGACATTTATAACTTCATTGTATATACTTTCCTGAAATCCTATATACTTGGCATGCATTTCAGAAAATGCATGCCAAGGCTTAAAGCAGCAACAACGCTACACATAAAAACTGATGATGGTGGAAAAACACACCGAAACGTATTTTGATTAATAAATAGAGACAATAAATCACTGAAACCCAGGAATAGATTTGATTTGACATTTATAACATAAAACAATACTTACACACTTTTCAAACTGTTTCTTTAAAAGCTTGCAAAAGTTGATTAGAGCAAAACAAATTACAATCAGATGTAAACACCAATGTCAACAAAACAAGTATCAAATTACTACAACTTGTAGTTAAAATTGTCGTCACCAGGTGGCGTGTGAACTTCTCGCGAATATCAAACAATTTTGATATGTGACACTAACGTCACGACATTATGACATTGGGACACTCGGGTGTTCAGACAATGACATTGTTGTGAAATTGACGTCACGACATTAATGTCACCGTCTGAACGCGCTTTAAAGCTCACTGCGACGCTAAGATGCGAATATTTACCTGCAAAGTTAACATGATTGGTACTGAGCAAAAGCACCACTGGTTCCAACTATTTATAGCTTGTGCAAAAAAACCCGTTAAGAGAAATGGTCTCGCTTCCATTGAGAGTGCGGTTTGAGCGAGTGAAAGCGTTACCACCGAAATAACGAAGGCGCGCCGGCATAGGTCAACATTTTTTTACGCGAACATAGAGAAGAATTAGAGCGAATATCAAGATTTTTTACCAAAATAATGTCTTCAGGAATCTGTATGCTTTCTACAATGTTTGGTTTAACTGTTTGGCCTTTCCATGACTAATAAATGAACGTAGTTTAACTAACCACAAACGGTTTGATTTCAGTTGTAGCTGAACATTTCATGCTTCCGAAGCGTTCTAATTGTATAAAATAGCGAAAATTAAACCATACAAAACGATATCGGTTACTTGGCTTTTTGGCAATTTAAGCTTTCCTCTGTTCAAATTTTTCAAAATTTTCAAAAATTCCGTCATTCGGGGTGAAGGCGGAAGATGCTCAGTTTTTTCTTAATAAAAAGTAAAATTTCGATAAGAAAATTTGCAATTAAATAATTTAGAGTTTTCCGTGTCCCTTTGGTCGAATTCCATAGAACAAATGGATTAAGCGTTAAAAATGGTTTTGGCACCTAGAAAGAGGCGTATTCTTAAACTTATTAAGTTTCTCTTCTTCTTGCGAAGAATTATTTTTATTCCTTTGTTCTTATCGTGTAGGGTAGATTTTGTAATTTTATCATTTTGAGCAGCAGTCTTAAAGTTGTTCAAAAAAGATTCTGTTTCTGCCTTCTCGCATGTCTTTCTTCTCTCGACGTTAGTTTCATTGTAGTTCTTAAAAATAATGCCGATTTTCTTTTCATACTGCCTTAACCATGGTGTCCCCCTTCACCTCTATAAAATGACTTTTCCTACTGAAACGCAATTATTTAAGACAAAAAAATATTCTCTAATGAAATAGCCAATCTCTTGTGTGCAACAGTCTCTTGTAGGTTTCAAGTTCCAAGAAAAAAATTAGTTTATAAATTCTTCATCCTGTGCTTTCCAAGACAAGAATTTCCTCGACATTCATGATCCGAACAAGAAATTATGTAAGTAAGATGCAAATTTTGAGGCTCGCCGACCTCAGGCACCCCCGGGACCGGTTTAGAACTTATTAGCTGGGTTTAGCCTGAAATTGCCATTGAATTATCCGGGTTTTCGCCCTGATTTTGGCGTTTAACCAGGGAGGCATTTTGTCCATTTACGCTATCGGAACTACGGAAAGACATGTTGAGGCTGCCATGGCGTTGTTAGTTAGTTGCCAGCGTTGTTGTCCCTGGTGAGTCTTTCGGCTGCCCGGTCCAGGTGTTCCTTTTTTGCCGTCTGATGGATCCTGCTGGTGCTTTCCAATGTTCTCTGGAAAGCCTGCCAGTTGGTGACACAAAGATCTTTCCGGCCTAGACATGGCTGCTCATCCGTGCAATCATGAACGTCTGCATCTGGGCTTGCATGGCTTGAATTGTTTGCTCCAGTTGTTCATTCCCCATTGGTTGAAGTTGGGAGGCGGCAGGTTCTTCTTGGCTGCACATTGTAGCTTCCGGTTCTAGTGGCAGCTTGTGGTGTGCACTGTGAGCTGCAGGAGTTTCTTCTCTTGCCTGTTGTTTTGTGCAGGAGGCTTTGCAGGGCATCCTGAGTAAGAGGATGGGTGGGCTGCCCCTCGGTTTCGCCTCGGGCGTCAACTTCGACTATGTATTAACTCACCTCTAATTTTGGCCTCGTCCCACGATTCCAGCACTCCTCTGTTGACCACAGGGAGTTGTTTTTCCTCCTCTAACTGATAGATGTGATATTGGTACTTGTCGGTACCCTTCAATCAGTAATCATTTGTCGTAGGGCGCGTTCGAACTCCTTTGGTTGTTACCAGTGTGGCCAGAATTCCGTTAGCATTGTCGCCCAGGACTATCTCATTTATCGCCCACAGTCGCAATTGCTGTGCTGTCAATCCTCGCAATCCCTATTATCTTTACGACAATTTCAAAGAGCATTTTTCGTAATTTATAAAACAAATGTTTGCATACCAAATTTTGTAATTAAATACTGTAAAAAACAAAACAAACGTCTAAAAACGTAATGATTTATCTCTTTAGTCGAGGAAGTGAGTTGAAACATGATTAGGAAGTAAAATAGTTCCGGTCAGAAATAAAATTAAAATAAGTAGACTTATGTCTATTAATTTTCATTTTATATAATATTGAGTAAAATTGACTTTATTCAACAAGAAAAGGCAGCATAACAAGTTCGATTGTTCATAGTTCTTAAATCTCATTCTAAATAAGTTTAGGAAATAGGATATTTGAAAATATTTTGTTGCAAATCTCCAAAACTTCCTGGTCTTGTTCTGATTTATTTTACAATTAAGTATAGTATCATATCTATAGTCGCCTAAGTGAAAAAATCGTAAAAGATAACAGTGACAACACGCCAAACAATAAAGTAAAAATTGAGAAATACCGCCCAAAAGTCGCATAGCGACTTTCTTAAAGCTTTCGTAGCAAAAAGCCCGTTTTGCGATAAACCGCCCAATCTGGCCACACTGGTGGTGACACCACAGCGGTAATTAATTTTTCCAGCCACGCTCCACATGGGAAATGAGCAAATAGGCTCGAAACCGGTCTTGAGGGTGCCTGAGGTTGGCGAAGCTCGAAACTGGTAAACTATTATTGGTGTCTACGATCTCGAAATAAACGTGAGTTGTTTTTGAGGAATTTCGTTAAAACTTTTCTTTTTAGTTTAAATTGGCAACACCCATTTCGACTTCCTATTCCAAATTAGACCTTGTGGCTACAATAGAAGCAGTTGTGTCTGTTGTAACAGATACAGGGTGTGTGTGTTCAAAATTGTGTTCAAACAACTGCAAGTTTTGACCGCTAATAACTTGTTTAATTTAAATGGAACACCCTATAATTTATGACACGAACAGATAAAAAATCTAATTTTCTATTGAGTACTATAAAGGTTTCCTATACCAAACTCCTAAGGTTTTCATAGAAATCGCAATTTTCCGTTCAGTCAATTTTCAAGTGCCTGTCCACTCTCCAACATAGCCAGCGGTATGTTGGCCGCAGCCTGACGGATATTATAATTTAAATCTTCCACGGCTGCGGGATGGTTTAAATACACAATAGAGGTGTGCTATGAGGGTTATTTTTTTTTCTGTAACAACAAGGTTACAACGTTTCAGTTTCACCTTGGTAATAGGTTTCAAAATGCGGTTCCAAAAGGAACATGTTACTTTTTTAATTTTTCATTAAAAATGCAGAATGATGATGATGATGGTAGAAGTAGTGATGATATATCATGATTTCCTTTAGAGTAACTACTTAAAATTACTCCTCAGAAGTAACTACTTAAAGAACAAAAAACTGATAATAAACTAAACTGATTAAATAAAATATACGGTTTATGCGCGAAATCGTTTAAAAATCTCATTGTTATTTAAAAATGAATTAACATTTAAGAATAAAATTGTTTGCAGATGATTTTTACTGATTCTAGTTCTTCGCGCGATTATGATAGCACCCGCTTTAGAAAATAATCTCTCGCATTTCGTTTCACAATAACATTAAATAATCCACAATAACAACAAACATAAATGCGTGTTTGGCAAACCTGGACGAAGTATTACTCGACTTAATTTTGGTACCACCAAAAAATAATTTAAAAAAATATATCGACCCTACAACGCTTATTACTATTCAAATAACTTTTATTTCATCTCTGACTGAATTTATATTTAAAAATGGCCAGCTTGCTTAAATTCAGGTGCACATTCTGCTAAAAACGGTTGTTATTTTACATTTCAACTGTGATGGAATTTATGTCTTAGACTCTTAGTTTGCTCACAGCTCATA